CACAGTCAAAAGGGAATGGTCCGTCTTTGTGTGGGTTTATTTATGGGGTCTCTATTCTATTCAAATCATCTGGGTTTCTGTTTTTTTGTTCTATTACCATATTGTTTTGATTACTATTGCTGTGTAGTATAGTTTGATATCAGAGAGTAAAATATCTCGACATTTTTTTTCTTTTCTCTCAGAATCATTTTGGCTATTTGGGTCTTGTGTCATTCCATACAAATTTTATAATTGTTCTATTTTTGAACATTGTCACTGGGATTTTGATTGAATCTGTATATTGTTTTAGGTGATATGGCCATATTTTAACAACATCTATCCTTCCAATCTGTGAACTTGGAATATCTTTCTATTTCTTTGTGTCTTATTTAATCTGACAGCATCTTACAGTGTTCACTGTATAGGTCCTTCATCCCCTTGTTAAAAATTTACTCCCAGATCTTGAGGTGATGATGCTAAATGAAGTAAGAAAGTGAAAGAGTTACCATATGGTTTCACTCATTTGCAGAATATAAATAACACAAGAAAACAAACTGGTAAAACACAACAGAAATGATTTTTTGACTCTGAAAAGTAGACTAGTTACCAGAGGGGCTGGGAGGTAGGATTAGGGGAGAGAAGGTGAGAGGGTCTTGGCACACAGGTGGTCAACAAATTTTGAGGAAAAAAATTAAAGCTAAGATAAGATTTTTCCCATAAAAAAAAAAAAAAAGCCTTGCCTCACAGTGCCCAGAGCACATTCAGACCACAGCTGACCCAGGAAAGTTTCCACCCCATTGCTGTCCCTTTCCCCACCCTCTTGACTCCCAGGGGCTAGAGTTCCACCCACCCTAAGCTCTACTCCCCTTGAATAAGTCATTTGATGATTTTGGGCTCAGTTTCCTCATCTGTAGGGCGCTGCCTAGAATATCTACAAATGCACCCCCAGGGAGAAACACAGGAATAAACAACCCCTTCAGGATTGTTGGTAGCAACAATAGCTAATTATATGGTGCAATCGCACGCCCCTGGCACTGTAGCCACCATAGCGCTGGTAATCCACTCCTCACTCCGCCCTTTGTCTGGATGCACTGGTAGCACCCTCATTGTACAGAGGGGCTGGGGCAGGGCACAGAATAGTAAGTAATCTGCCCATGAGCAGCTGAGGCGGCCTGCCGTGTTCCTGACCACTGCCGGCACTTTCCCGGGCAGAGCGAGCTCAGTCAAGCCTCCCCTGGACTCTGCTGCAGGCTTGCCGCCTCCAGCCACCATCTGCCCACCAAGCAGGTCTGAGTGCCTTCCCAGGAGGCACATCTAGCCTGGCTCTCTCCTGCTAGCCCTTCCCAGGCCTCCCCAGTGTTTCCAGAAGAAACCAAGATTCTCAGCCAGTTTCCACGACCCTCCAGCACCTGGGCTCTGCAGCCTCACCTCCTGCCAGCCCAGATCCCTAACAGCACCAGACCTTGTAGTCCCATTACTGATTTGTTCTCCCTGCCGTGCCCTTCTCCTTAAAGATGTCCCCTACTCGGGGTGGGGGGCACCCTCCTCTGGGCAGTCTCGGGTGTCTTTCTCTGGACTCAGAGCTTGCCATGCCATGACTTGCTTTCTCCCATGACTGTGAAGGTCAAGGATGTACTTTGAGCTACTTCTTCGGTACCTCCAGCTATCACCCAGGGTCTGGCAGAGCCAAGGGGCTCATAAAGGTGTCTGAGGGCTCACAGCAGATATGGAGTGCCTACCAGTCCTCCCCACAGGACCCGGGGACAATCATGGCCCCAAGAGGCCATGAGCTCACCTGGGTCCAGGTAACTTCAGGAAGAGCACAGCAGCCAGGAGGCCTAGGGTGTTTGTGACTGGGCCATGAACAACTGTGTCCCAAGAGCTGGGAGCTAGCTGAGCCAGCTGCAGTTGGGCGTGGCTGGCTGGCATGCCCACAGCCAACTGGTGTATTAGGGCAAGGCAGGATGGCATCAGTGATTGAGCCTGGCACCTGCCACTGATCTCACTGAGCTGACTCTTGTGGACACAAAGTTCTGCTGCCCCTGGTGACCAGTGACCACACCTGGAAACTGTGTGACACTCCAGAGTGAGATTGAAGGAAAGAAGGTAGAGAAGGGAAACTGCTAAAAAACTAGAGGTAAGATCATTTACCTCTTTCGACCCTCACGTATGAGGTCAAGTTCAGAGAGTGGTACATTTTGACACTGCAGGTTTGAGGTTCCGAGGTCACACAGGGTGACCTTTTGTGTCTGGCTTCTTTAATCTAACATAATGTTTTCAAGACTCATCCACATGGTAGCATGTTACTCCTTTTTA